AAACTGTGTCCTAGGAATTAATTTTTCTTTCTTCTGGGGAAGACTGAACAGCAATGATAGTAAGAGTAGGCTCTTTCCCCGCTTGGCAGCTAGGGACCAGATCAAGTGCCTATAGGTAACTTTCAAATAAACAAGGCTGCATGTTGGTTCCCTGGTATCTTGGAGATTTCTGTGGAGCAGAGGACTCTGTGGCTCTGTGGACTGGAGCCAGAGTCCTAAGGCAATCTGCCAGCCTTTGAGGCTCCCACTGACTGTTCACCCTCAGCTTCTGTACAGTTCTCTGCACTCTATGTGAAATATCCAAAATTCTGTGGGTCCTGGAGAGCAAACTGAGGGTGCTCCATAGCAATGGGCTGGGAACAATTGAAAGAAAAGGCATGAATTACCAGCTGCCTTTGACAGTTGTTTTTCTTACTGAATATGGTATTTTGTCACTTATCATCCATACTGTGCTGCATAGCAGATTGTTGTTCAATTTTATATTCTGCTTTTAGAATTTTTGCAATCAGTAAATGACTTATCAAGAAAATATGTTTATGTAGAAAATGAAGTGTCAAATTATCTACTGTTTCGATTACTTGGGTGGTTGTTATTTTTTTCCAATAATTGACTCCTCTGAAAAGCTTTTCTTCTCAGAGAGGCCGCTGTGTTGTCAATCGTGCCAAATTGCATGAGATTATGTGCTACAGTTTTGTGACAGAAACTGATACTCATTAGGAAGTTGTGATCACTGTAATAAAAAGTAATGAAAAGGAGATGCACAGCTGTCTATTCAAAACATGACAAGCATTCTCTTCTTTCCTTTTCCTTCAGTGTCTGTCAATCTGCAGCTTCTTTAAATTACCACTTGTGCATAGTGAATTCACTCTTCATCGACTAATCTTGTTGAGACTGTACATTAAATAGGAGACATTTCTAATAGGTCCACTGCTTATGGAAGGTTTTTGGTGTCTGACTTGTCTTGGCAGAGGGAGGAACAGAGAAGAAGGAAAAATTGGAAAAAGATTCAAGGAGATTTCCTTGTGTTCTTTTCCTCTGTTGGTCAGTCACAGCTCTGAGCTCTTCTGCAGCAGTTTGCTGCTGAGAGAAGTGCACACATTAGCACCTCACAAAATTGCAAGGACTGTTCTCTCCCTGCCACACTTCACAGCCATATATATATGTTAATACCTTGACCTCAAAGAAAACAGCCAAAGATGAGGTCAACAGGTTAAGGGTGGCAGTATGATATGGAGGCACAGCTCAGCTTTTCTTCACTTATCTCTAGCAAAGTGCATATAAAAATAATCAGGGTTCACATCTACTTGCTCTCTCTCCTGATTTATCTCAGTTAACTAGCTGAGACAGTAAGTTAATTTTTCCTTGGTCATTGGTATTCAGGAAGCACTTTGGAGATGTGACTAAGATCAAAGCTCTCTTATTTTAGTCATTGTGTGCACATGTATACTAAGAACTTAAATCTCTTTTGTTGAGCCAATGTATTTTGTCTTGCATTGTTGCAGGCTTAGCTGACAGAGAGCCAGTCCCTTTTTAAACTGCAGTAACCTTCCTGCATGCATTACCTCAGGGAAACACACCCTTCCCTGCTGGGATAACCATGTTCAAGCAAGACTGCTGCTGGCCCCTTGTGCTTGTAGCTGACAGATTTAAAACCATGCTTAACATGGTCCAGACTTCCAAGGCTGGACAGACAACACTGAGTATCACCAGTGATGATTACTGGGGGATCTTATGGAAGAGAAGCTGCTCCCCACTCCTTAGGTACATGGAAGATCTCCACGGCTTCTTTCACAAAGAAGAGCAGCTCCTCTCAGTGTTGAGACACATCAGCTGCTTCACTGCCATCCATGAATGTGCTGCTCGACTGCTGTCTGCTCCTTGGAGAAGGTTGCATTTCATCAGCACCCTGCAAAACATGGTTGTTGAGATACCTTTCCTGACAAGAAATGCTTAATTGCTCCAGTTGCTGCATCATTTTAACTCTGGGAATGTTCTCTTCAAGCCTGCTCTGAATTAACTGAAAATTACAGTCAGCATCAGGCAGTTGGTTAAAAAGTTTTCCAAGATGACACCTTGTCTCCCTGCTGTTATTGGCAGAAATAATGCAGTATTGAATCATTACCCATTTCAGCTGTAAATACTGAACTGGATTAAGTAGACTTTTCTCTTACTAAAATCCTTTCCTATGCATTAATGAAATGCTGTTTGAAATGGCAGGGATAATAAGTAACAGGCTTAATCCTCCTTCACTTTCCAACTTCTGTCTTTTGAGATCACTTGCATTAAGGTCAATAGTGAAGGAATGCTGTGGACAGAGGGTTTATCCTTGTTACTGATACTGTTGGGAAGCAGCTTCTTCTCACTGGTTTGTGCCACCTTTGATTACTGGTGTTCTGTGGGTACCAGGGAAGGACAGCACTCACCTCATTTATTTTTATTTCCTACATGCTTTTCTAGGCTCCAGTATCACTTTAGCTGAGTGCTTCAGAGTCTTTGCTGTTGCAGGCCTCTCACTGTCTGTCCTAGAGGTGGAAAAAGTGATCTACTTATTTATGGAGGTCATCCTGAAATGCAGGGATGGTGACTAATTCCTTTTTCATGGAAGGAGTTGAATTCCATTCCCTGCCATGCCTGTGCAGCACCCCAGTCATGGCTGAGAAATAAGCAAGATGTGGTCTGGATAATATCCCAGCTTTCTTTCTCCAGGAACTGAGGTCCACCCAAGATGTTGTCTGATATCTTGTCCATAAGACACTAACTTTTTCATTCGTTTTACACCTAGAAGATTTCAGTCTTGAAGGGTGAGCAGGAACTTTTCAAGATGAAGTGGAATTTTTCTTCCTTATTTTGGAGAAACTGCAGTTGTATCTTGTTTTTGAGAGAATATCCTTCCTTATCATTAACCCTATTGACTGAAGTTTATTTTTAAAGAATTCCTGAGCTTTCCAAATGCCCTCTATTTATATTTCCCTCTGCCCAACTGAGCAGAAGGGATTTTGATCTGATGTTTTGAGAGATGATAATTTCTCAGCTGGGGTGTATGCCAGGGGTGTTGTAGGCCATGATGCAGCTGCCCAAGCTACAGGTCTTGTTATGGGCATATCTGTCAGCATTAAGGACAGAATGAAATGGATTTCATTTATTGCATAGTTTTGTAACGAAGACACAAAATGTTGGTTTAACTGAAGGTACTTTAAGGGTTGAAGATCCTTCATGTAGTACTGTAGCTTCACACAGGTGCACTGAGTGGTGGTCAATACAAATACTTGTTTAGCACACTGGGAGAAAGGAGTTGGGAAGTGGGAGTGAGATATCCATCCCATGTTATTCCCACACTGTTTTACTTGATTTGAAAGGAAAACACACCATTTTAATTTTGTGTTATGGAGAGTATTTGTGATGAATTTATTTGCTTTATGCCTGTGTAAGCAGTTAGAACTTTCTGTGCCTGCCTAATGTGAGGATCCAGCCTGTAGTTTGACTTTTAGGTTTTTTTAGCCCTAACAACATGCAAAATCAGAAGTATATTTCCCTCCCCACCCCTCTTTTGTAGGGACTTAAAAGACTGATTCAGAGTGATTGCGCACGAGACCAGATGCTGAATGGGACCTCAAACCTGACACTAATCTGCCTCATTCACTTTGAAAAAGCACCTTCTTTGTGTGTTTCCCTTTTAAAGTCTGGGCTAAAGGCATTCTCTTCCCATATACATTGTAATTGAGCTATATGGATTGAAGAAAGAAAGGAATAAGAGGAGGATTTTGCCAAAAAATATAAAATCCAGCCTTGGTTTTTACAGCAGATTATCTGGGAAGAGGGTTTCTTCCGTGTGAGTAAAGCTTGGCCATGGCATGGTGATTAAAGTGTACTAAAGGACAGACAAGAACTATTCAGGCTTCTCTGAGCAAAGCTACATTTCCTTCAGTCTTTTCTTTGTCTTTAGTGTAGCCTAGGTCCTGGCACTCTTCCTGTGAAGAGATGCTGTCATTCCTTTCCCTTCCTCCATTCTTTCCTATCTGTGTTTTGCAAGAAAGGAAACTGATTCATATAGGTAGGTAGCACAATCTTCTCACACTTTCTCGTCCCACCTTTGCAAGGAAGCCACTGATTCACTGAGATGCTTTTCCCATCAAAATTCACTATAAAGACCAGTATAATCTGTGGGAACAGATGGTATTTCTTGGTAGATTTTGCAGAGTACCATTGCAACCTGGATAAAGGTTTTACCACATAAGTATAAAATAATTTTCTCCCTCATGAATAACTTACAAAAGGCACTGTGATTACAGATACCAGTTTAACCTTCAGGACAGCCTTCAAGCCTGGCATTCTCCTGGGACTTTTTTTTTTGAAGGGGGATGGTTGGCTGGTTGTGTCAGTTGGGTTTGGGATGTGCCCTGTTGTTTGAACCACACAAAGAGATTGATCAGACTGGCAAAACCTCATCTCTTTACTCTCCTTCAGTGTGACAGCTAAAACTCCTCCAATATGTCTCCAAATGGCAGCAATAGATGGTATTAATAAAATACCAATAAAATTTTTCTAATGATAAGCATAGTCAGGTACTGGAATTGCTTGCCTAGGGATGTTCTATAATACTGGATATGCAACACTTGGTTTGCAAATATTCTTAAAAACAAGTTAAACAAACCTCTTTAAGAAATTATCTTGGATGTGGATAATATACCTTCAGGCAAAGGAATGGGTGAGATTTCTTTAGTTCTACTTTTTACAATTTGCTGAGCATGTTAACAGAACTCTGGAAATATTTTGGCATATTTACCATCTGTTGACATGTAAGAAATGATATCTTGGAAAATCAGCAAAGGAAATTCTTGCCTAATTGGATAATTTGAATGAACTCAGGAAATCAGGGCTTCTTTTTCAATATGCCTTTTGAGACTGGAAAGGGGTTTGACAACATGAGTGTATATGTGCTATATAGCATTGTAATCGTGCTTTAGTTCTAGGAAATGTGTCTGTTTTTGTTTCATGCACAGGGAACAACGTCATGAGGACAATCCATGGGGTAGGAGAGATGATGACCCAAATGGTGCTGAGCAGAGGGTCTGTATTTCCCATCAGTACCCCTGACATACAGCCAAGCATTCACCCAAGCAAGCAAGTCAGCACTGCAGACAGTGAAGATGTGATTGTAATGGACACCAAATTGAAAATCATTGAGATTTTGCAGGTAATAATGAGGGGTGGTATATTACACAGCAGTCATTTCAGGGTTCTTTGCTCACATGGCGGCCAGTTCTGTTACCCACATTCTTACTATTCACTGGCTGCTCATTGTAGAAATAACTCATTGACATGAGGAAGGATAGTCCTCTGTGTGAACAACTGCACAGTTGTGGTCCTCATTCTGTTGTACCAGCTTCACTTTTGAAGGAACAGGATGCTGCAGGTACTTTCTGACTGTAACTCTGCAATAACAACTTGTCCTCTAATCTGCCTCACTAATGTTTCCTTAAGACAGCATGTCTGTTTCCAGTTTCTTTCACACAGTTAACACTGGGGTGGTTGCTTGATTTAAGCATTTGACCCCTCTGTTGCAGTAGTTGGATAAAGGGCAGAATTGACCCTGGCCCTACTGAAGTTGTGCGAGGCTGCGCACTTTTGGTGCATTTAATGCATTTCAGATTTCCACTGTTGGGCTGCTGTGCTTTTCTCCCAGCTGACATGACAAGCTGGGTGACACCAGTCTGCCTCCTGAGATGCAGTTTTGACTTGGTGCTGTTAATAAGTGAAGTGGCACACGCTTGCTCTGTGTATCACTTCCTGCAGTGCTTGGGCCCTGAAGGAATGTTTCAGTGTTTTCTCTAAATTCTCTGGATTTGTTGGTACCAATGTCACTTCTGAAGGATTCAATTTGTTGTGACTGCTCATAAATTATGTAGATTACTCTAATTACTTGTCATCTGAAAGGCTATCAACTGTTAGAATATAATCAATACTGCATTCTTTGGTTCTAGGCCTCCTTTACTTTAAAACTTACAGTGAAAGATAGAGTGCTATGAAATTATATTACCTAAATAACACCATTCACTTGTATTGCTTTTCATTTTCCTTGTTTGAATGACTGAATTTCTCTTCACACTATGCTGCTTTACTGGTTGATGCCTAGGAGGATGATTCCAGGACCTTGTCCTGTGCATTCCCTGAGGGAATCGCATTTTGTCTCATCCATTCCTTTTTCACAGCACATTCATTGCAAGAGCACTAAGGATTGAAGGGCACTTAATCCTAATTTCTTACTTAATCTGTGGTTTGGTAATTAAGGATTGGTCAAATGGTCAAATTACTTCAGATAAGCAAGTTGTCATATGCTGGGTGAATCCCAGTAAATGTGCATATATATGATCCTAGCCCACAAGAAATACAAAATAATTCAGTTTCATTTAAAATGCAATGAGGAAGGATTAATTTAAATCATGTTACCTTTCTATTACTGTGTTATTAGCCTCAACGGCGAGTAAGAATATTTTAGATTTATTGTACTAATTGCATAGCAAGTACAACGGTGATTAAAGCTATTGTATTCTCAGAATATTTCAGTTTATAGTAATTTAATTCTTAACATATCTTCCTATTGCTTTAAGTAAAGACTGTTTAATTTATGATTTCTATTCTGCCCTCAGCCAGAATTAAACAGATGGTCTGATAGACTTAGTTGACTATGTGTGGACTTGGGAAATTTTTATTTTTAAAAATCTTGTTTGTACAATTCTGGGCAACTTAATAATGGAACCAAAATAGACAAATCTTATTACTGTGGGTCTGGGAAACATGTTTGGCTTTAGCTGTAGATCAAAGAAACAGGTTGTCGTCATTTGCTACGTCACCTTTCAAATCACCTTTCACCTCAGCATTGGAAACTCAGCCTAAGTCTTTCATCCCCACTGATTGTAAAATATGTTAAATAATCTTAAAGGTGTTTGATTACATGCTTGCATTTCCTATGGGTAAGAAGCATCCATGTGTATAAGTGTCAGCCCTTAATTTCATACTTCCAATGCTTCCAACCTAGTTATTTTCCTCAGTCTTCCAATATAAAAGTAGTACTTCCAGGTCTGAATTAGGATTTTTCCTGTATGAGTTTCCAGTTTCACAGCTGAGGAACAAAAAGGCATTTTTCAGGTGTCTGAGAGGGTGAGCCTTGAGCCTGTTGTGTTTGCTCTCTATTCCACTCCGTGGAGCATTGGAAGTCCAGCTGAAATGTGAAATAATTGATGTCAGCATGGGTTTGAAGGTTCTGATCTGGCTCGTAGGCAGTGAGGACATGGCAGCGTGTTGGAGTCCCTGCACACACCCAGTGGTTCTCAAGCAATCCATAGGGCAGAGTTCAACATATCTCAGGATGGGCAGGGTAAAGAAAGGAATCACAGAAAACTGGTGAATGTATTGGATTGTTTTTTTCATAGTAAACTTAAATTTATTTACTTCACTTTTTTTATTCTTGTAGTTTATTCTCAGTGTTAGACTGGACTACAGAATATCGTACATGCTGTCTGTCTATAAGAGAGAGTTTGGGGAAAACACTGAAAACGTTGACTGCTCTACATCATCCCCACCTGACACACCAGGGACTGCCTCAGGTAAACCTTGCTATTTTCTTTCAATGCCAAGTAATTCTGGCTAGGCAACTGCAAACACTGAGCTCAACTGTAGCAGAAAGACACAGGCTGCTGCATGTTGAAAAGCTTGTGAAAAAATAAAAAAAATAAGGAATTCCACAAATTTTTTTGCTGGTCTGTCCTCCTCCTCTAACAAAAAAAGTGATTCCTTTTTCCCCACTGTCATATTTTGTTCTTTTATCTGTGCTCTTCCCAAAACACTGCATGGTGGCAAGTGGAGAATGGTTGGGGATGGATGAGACCAGGTTTAAGTGAGGTGAATGTGGTACAGGAATGATTTGGCTTTCCAGGGAGCATTCCTGTGCGCACAGAAGTGCTCAAAATGTCTGTGTGAACACCTGCAAGTAGGGGAGAATTGCTTTAACTGGGTGTGGGCGTATGTACAATATAGGGGTACTGAAGTCTTAAGTAATACGTTATATTAAAGCCATACTAAAGCAAAATGATGGTGTGGCAAATAACTGGGTGTATGGTAAATATTCTAAAGTTCATGTATATGCTTTGCTGGGATTGGCTCAAGAAAAACGAAGAAAATGTAAGAAAAAATTTGAAAGTTTGACAATGTGTCATTTGTGGGACACTGCTGGTGTGTCACAGCTTCTAGTACCATGTGGCTTTGGTTCATCACTACAATTCTCTTCCTCAGGAATAGTAATACACAGTTTACCTCTGCCCCATATCATGTTTGTTCTCTGCTACTCTTGCAGAAATCAAATTTTGCGTAGTTGGGAATGACTAGTTAGACCTTTATTGATACCATCTGCTTTAAAGAGGAACAGAATTCCATTTTGCTGTGCAGATTAAATGATGATCACTGGCTTTCTTTTTTTTTTTTTTTTTTTTTTTTTTTTTTTTTTCTTTTTTTCCCCAATTTTTTCTTCTGATTTTTTTCCCAGCAATTGTTCCTGACATAGATGAAATTGCAGCTCAGGCTGAAACCATGTTTGCTGGCAGGTATATTCTCTGAAGTTTTATCTGTATGTATATTTATGTATCTTTTTGTTCATGTCAATATTTCTCATGGCCAATCTCTGTTTATTCTGTGCTTATTTTTATAGCTCTTTCTCTTCCTTTGTCTGCTTGTTAATTGCATAAGCCGTACTTGAACAGAAACATGCCAGGAAAGACCTGGATTTCAATCAAGCAAACAGCCCAGCTGGCCTGGATGGCTGTGGGATTGGCTATGAGCACCCTCTTAGTTGTAAGAGAGTTGGTAGAAAGATTTTGTCATGTTTCCAAAGGCAGCTGGGGAATGATGTAGAGGTGTATTCGGCTGAACAGCACTAATTTTCTGTTTATCTTACAATGCCTCACATGGGTGCTGAAAAGTCACTCTTTTTCTGGTGTTTCTTATGGCTACAGCCTCAAATTTCCTGGATCAGCAGCTTGCTGTTGGCCCTCAGGATTTCTCATCGATTGCATGACCTGTTGTCATTGCACTTGGTGTTCAAACTCCTTGGGAAAATTGTGCCAACAGTAATCTCTCCTGTGACTCCTCAGATCAGGAGTGGACCACTTGCCATGATCTCCTGGTCCACCAGAGGCCTGTAGATCACAATTTATGCTTGCAGAGTTTTGGAAGGGATTTTAACTATGCTGTGAACAGAAAAAATAACCCATGGAAAACACTCACACTGGAGAGTTATTATCATTATCACTATGTTGGTTTAATTTTACAAGTATCATTATAATTATACCAGTAAAAAATTAATTCCATTTAGACAAGGCCGTAAAAATTTTAAAAAGTTTTTCTTGGAGCTAAGGAGAAGGATCAGCAATATGGGCACTGTGATCTTTCCTCTCTCAGTCCCTCGTGCGTTCTCAATCTTTACCAGCACAAGCAATGCCTCTAGGCCTCTCCTGAACTCCCATACTGTGAAGCAACACACAGCCCTTGGCATCTGCATCTTTAAAATGACCAGAGAGACCCAATGGTTTATTGGAAACATTATTTCTGCTCTGATATGTTAAGTGTAAATCTGCTTTCTGCCATTCCACATTATGAATATGATTCTAGAAATATGATGCTTTTGGCAACTCTTGCTATTTTTGATCTTATTTTTTCTTAAATGAAATTTTAATAGCAGCTGAAAAGGGAGGAAGTGAAAAGGAAAGGGTCAAATTAATCTCTGAGGAAATGCAGTTTACTTCGTTTAATTTGGATTGGGGATGTATCTGGCTCAATTTATCCATGACATAAATGAATGCTTTTACAATATAGGTTTTAATCACAATGTTTGACACATTTCATAGATACTTACTTCTGCTCCATAGTGTTCATTGTGCTATGAGATTGCTGCAATAACTGTAGGATAGAAGTCCTTGTAAAATATATTAAAGTCATATTTATAATTTCCTTCCTGAAGCATATTTAATTTGATTTTAAGAGCTCTGTCAAGTGAAGATTGTGTATATTTATCACAAGAGCTTTTATTTTTTTTTAGTTTACTTTACTTTATTTGGTGCTTTTCCCCCGTTTCTCTTGCAGAAAGGAGAAGAATGCAGTTCAGCTTGATGATGAAGGGGGCAGAACTTTTTTACGGGTCCTCATTCACCTCATCATGCATGACTACCCCCCATTGCTCTCAGGGGCTCTGCACCTGCTGTTCAAGCACTTCAGCCAGAGAGCAGAAGTTCTGCAAGCATTCAAACAGGTATGGATGGGCTGAGTGTTATCCCAGGAAACTGAATGCAGGGAGCCTTCCTAAAGGCTGTTCTGCTACCTAAATCACTGTTTGTTGCATGACAGTGTTATTTCCTCAGAGGTCAAGTATCAGCAGACTTCTTTGGCCAAATGTGCTGGTATATCTTACAGTTCTGTACCCCCAAGAAATTGTTATTTCTGGCACTGCATCTATTAGGGAAAATGTTGGTCTGTGGTGAGCCTCTCACAGGGATCCCTCAAGGACAGAGCCAGTGCCTCATGTTTGGCAAGCAGTGTCCCCATGTCAGCAGTGAGACTTCTTTGTCTTCAGGACCACTTAGGCTGGGTATTATTATTTTGTTATTCACCTGGTGCTTCTAATTCCAATTCAGGTGTCTTTGCACAGGGCTTCCCTGCCTGATACAGCTATGCCTAAACAGCAGGAAGGCAGGGATAGAGCCAAGTCTGTTTTCAGCTTTTATTCTGTCCCTCTGGTAGGGGTGCATGTGCAGGCTCCATGTGGCCATGGATTAGGATGGGGAGATCTGATGTCATGGGGCTGCATGACAGAGATGCCTCTGTTACGTAACCCTTTAGAACATATGTTGATAAGAACATCTGATGCTTATTTCAGGAGCTGGGTAGCGTGGTGTCTCATCATTATGTAAGGTAGGGAGGTTTCTGTCCTGTGCAAACAGATGAATGATAAAGACCTGAAAAGCTTTTGTTTAATGTTTTTGTTGTGCAGCATAATGGCCTCCCACCAGGTATTTAAAGTTAGGCTGTGCTGGTTAATTGCATAAATCGCTGTTATTCCCAGGTAAGCAAGGACTGAGTTGCTTAATGTGTTTTTGTGAAGGATGGAAAAGGCTAATGGAGAGATAAACAAAAAAGACTGTAGAGCACATGGAATAAGAATGCCTGCAGTTGAGCAGCATTCATAAATTCTGTAAAATAACAAGGTTTTGTCAAGCCAAGAGAGATTATTATGATGAAAACTTTATATTACAAAATAGTGAATATTTGCCTGGATGTAATGTGGTTTTAAAAACAACATCAGTGTTGTCAATGACCCTAATCTTTTACATGAGTATGATTTCTTAAGTGTGTTTATTAATTTACTGTAAAGATTGCTGATATTTTTTTGGCATATTATCTTCATTAATAATCTTGGGAGAACAGAGAGCATTACAAAGAAAATGTGTAGGTCATGCTAAATCAAGAACTACACATAACAGTGAAAAACCCAGATAATTTGAGCAGTACAGGAAAAGAAAAAAATGAGATCAATCTTAATAACTGGCAACCACTCAGATGGTGAGAAATTCCATTAACCTGAAAGTCAGTTTGTCAGCTATATTCAGAGAAGTTTTTCTAAGCTGGCCTAATAGTGCGAAAGTCTGTTATTTTTCAATATTTGATTATGGTGGTGTAGGAGATCATTAAAATTGCTAGCCATTCTGACTTTTCTTTGGATGCCCTGATCCCTTGTCATACCATCCTTTTTTTTTCCTTCTGAAGTACAGTGCTACAGCTGTAGGAATTTCTAACTATTACTTTAATAGTGTGTAACTGTATTTTATAATGCCATGAGGATCATGATCAGTGCATCAGAGTTCACTCTGCGCAGAACTCGAGAGCCTATAAATCTGCCTGTGCTGAAAATGTTTCACAGTGTATTCAAGAAGGTGAGAAGATGTTGTAAATGTTTTAACCATCCTGTTTTGGACAACTACAAACTCTGTCTCTGCTAAAGGTTTTTGATAAATGGGGGCTAAAAGCCTGCATGTGCTGTGTTTGAATTGCACAGGGAAGATTGCACAAGGCACCTGGAAAGAGGCTTAGAATGAGAACTGTCAAGCAAATTACCTGGCCATAAGTGCTAGTGCTGTAACAGCTTCACAATTTTCTCCATTTCCAGGTTCAGTTGCTGGTGTCCAATCAAGATGTGGATAACTACAAGCAAATCAAAGCTGATCTTGACCAGCTACGTCTGACTGTAGAAAAATCCGAATTGTGGGTTGAGAAGAGCAGCAATTATGAGAGTGGAGAGGTGGGCAACAATCAAACCAAAGGAGGAGAAGAGCCAATGGAAGTGGGTTTAAAGCCTTTGTTGTCAGAATTGTTTGAATACTCATAGGTAGTTTCATGAACAACTGCAAAATCGTAGTCTGGTTAAGCAAAGTGGCAGAGTGAGAATGTGAAGTATTCTGGCTGAGCTTTAGGAACTGACAGAAAAGGAAATAACATCTCTGTTATCAGTGTATTCAGTATTCTCTCCTGATGCTTTCAGGAGCTGCCTTCCTTTCTGGGTGCAAGCCACAGTGTGCAGCAGCATCCTGAAAATACTCTGGGAATTGCATGCTGGCAGTTGGGTTGCTTGCTGGAAGAAAAGAGGAGTGGACAGTATCCTGCAAATAAGGGAGAGGAGCACAGTCAAACCCATGTTTGCAAACACCACAAGTAATTCCACTCTTCATCACACAAGACTGACCTAAGAATGTTGAGATTTTGTAGGTGAACTAATGTTTTAGTTTCTTTGGCCCTTGTCATACCACTTTCTCAGCATATACTCTGATTAGATGTAGAATTTGAATCTAGGGCTGTGAAGACTTCTTTTTTTTTAATTTTTTTTTTTTTTTTTAGATTTCATTGTTTGGATTTTTAAAGTTTTGCTTTTCAGTGCAAACTGAAATCACAATTTAATCATTTATCTCCAGCATGAGCTTTTAAGAAAACACAAAGTGTTGCTGTGACTGAGGTTTGTGCCATAAGAGTAGATAAAGCAGGCTTTTCCACCAGTATTTATTCCCACTTTTCCCTTTTCATCAGAGGAGGTGGGAGAGATGAATAACTGTGATTTCTGACACAGCATTTTCCTTGTTCTCTTTCCTGGTGCCAAGAAAGGTGGGTAAGGAAGCTCCTAGGGAAGTAGGAAGCCAAGTAGAGGTTATACAGCATTGTGGAGACCCACATTAGGAAAAAAAGCTGGAGCCATGGAGAAGAGAGATGATGCTTGCAAATATCTGTGACGCACGTGTGGCCTTTTAGATGGGGAAGCAAATTTTTGGTAGCTTCATGCAGGGGCAAATCCAACACTTCAAGTAAGAATCCCAAATTCTTGCAACAGCGTAGGTCCTACCCTTTCTCTGATCTATCTTAGGTGATGTTCTGATACCACATCTTTAGTGGTGTCAAAATTAGGGAGGAATCTGGAGTTGAAGCTTAAGTATGTGGTATTTCTTTCCTTCTTTCCTCAAGCACAGATCTGGTAGGAAAGAAAATGTTCCTTTATGTATTTAATGAATTGAAGAGGTAATGAGGAAATAGAAAATATAATTGTGTCAGGATTGCAAACTTTTTTAGCTATACTACATTTTTAAAGTGTAATTTATTCCTATGGATACCCTTGATAGCAAGGAAACTCCAGGAAAAGGGGGCAAAACAATGTGTTTGAAACAGAGGCACCTCTCAATGAGATATTTTGAGTGTTTTTTTCCCATGAGGTATCTGTGGGTCTGTATGGATTAGCAGTGCTTCAGTAGATGCACAGTATTATCTCTGACAGATCAGAGAGATTATTGTATCAGAGCAGTAATAGGTAATCTGCTGGTTAGATCATCTGCTGGTAATTCCCCGAGAGCTATGCCAGGTTACAGTAGCTCAGAATCTTGTCCATCTTTTTTTTTCCCCTGCTAAATTATTCTTTAACAGTGAAGAGGTGTTTTTACCTGGCAAAAAAGTAGCATTAGGTAGTCAGTACTCTCTTTGAGGTCTTAAATCAGACGTAGGAGGTATGATGTTGGGCATAATCTGCAATGTGTGAAGCAGGTGGCTAGCTTTAAGCAGACAAAAATCCCACGAGATCCATGCTTTCTTGGAATGGATACTGGGTATTCAGAGCTGGATGAACCTCTAGGTCTTTAGGGAATATGCCTCATTTGCCTGTGTTTATTTTTTCCCAAACAACATTAAAGTGTGCACAAGGACTTAAATGACATTCCAGAACACTCTTACCCAAGTTAAACCCAAGTTTCTGTTGTCACATGAAGCCTGTTGAAAGATGTACATAAAAGTTTAAAAATATAAATTTTTTTTTTGTCTGAGTCTTCCTAGGTAATTGTTTTTCACCTTACTGTCATAACCTGTGGGCCTTTTTAAGTCATATGACTCCAGAACAGGATTTGTAGAAAAAAGACCTTGCTCTTGTAAAAGTATCCAGAGTTCTCTACAGGAAAAATGGCAAATCTTATATCCATGCAGGACTGTCTGGATAGGGACTGGAGATCAGAGTTGGAAAGAGTACTTGGAGTTATGTCAGACATAGATGATACACCAACAGGCTTAGGAAGAAATGCTGAAATTGAGCTCACATAAGAGCCATGCTTGAGAAGGTGAAATCAGATACAGCCTGCTCACTTGGTTCTCTCTAGGAAGGATGTTCTGGGTCTGTGTAGACACCACAGACCATGGAAAGTGTGATTTTTATTGTCCTGTCCCTGGAGGATGCTTTGGTGGTGTAGCACCAGAAACACAGCTCTGAGGAAGAGAAACAGGCTCAGTGAAAGGACTTAAAGGTGAAGCTGGAAGAGAGTGCAGTGGCATTATGGAGTTCCTCATCTTTTCCATCTGCTGAGAAAGTTCAGCGAGGTTTCAAGTGGTCTAAACTTTCAGCACCTATAAGCACCTGGTGTTCCCTTACTTCCTATCTTTTCTGGTCTGTGGCACCTTGCTTTGGTTCTGGGAATGTTTGAACAAACATCACATAAAGGTTGAGGTTGTGAACTGAGAATTCTGTGAATGTCCCTCATTCCCCTGTTGGAGCCTGTGGAGAGCAAAACTGTGCCCTGACACTGCAAGGACTGACATGTGCCTTGCACTGCTGTCCTGCTGGGATTAGAGAGACTGCTCAGACTGAATGCTGGAATCTGAGTCTCCAGTGGCAGCTAGCAAAAAAGGATCTGAGACTGTTGCAGAGTGTTATTCCAGGAATTTTATGGGTAGAGGGAGTAGTCTCTTTCAGAAAATACTATTTCCTTAAGATGGAGTACTCAAGTGAGAACCTTTCTCCTCGAGATCTCTATGCCTGCTTGTCCCCTGTGGAAAAGTGTGACAGGGAATGTCTATCATGGGGCATAATGAGGCCAGATCTGCAACCGAGTGTCTTTGATATCCCAGTGGTGTGATTATCTCTTGGTAACTACATCCCTGGCATATTCTTATGGGTTCAATAAACAATTGTTTATTTTGTTAAAAGAAAGGATAGATTCGGCAGTTTAATGCTGATCAGCACTTCCAGATAAGACATACAGTTCACATGGATTATAAAACTACTTTGATGAAGGAAGAATGCTGATAAAACTAACAGGTAAATTAATCTTGGTTAACCCACAATCCCAGAATGGAGGAGGGTGGTTAATTATAGGAAAAGCCTGAAACATCTCCCAAAGTATTGATTCAAACAGCTAGAGAGACGGCAGCCTGCATACTAACAAACCTAACCAAATAAAATCTACTGTTGTTACATAGATCAGCACTGAACAGCGGTGCTGACACTCTTGTAAACAGCTTCCATGGCCAAGTGCTGCAGCTGTTCTTACCTCACTGGAAATTAGGACCCGATGGGATTTATAGAACTCCTGAACTTCATCATCATCTAAGAAAGTTCAGAGAGAGGTTTCAGGACATATAAACATTCAGCTTGGCATGCATATGTTTGTTTTAGTGTATTTCTCTTTTCTAAAACAGTAGGAAGTTTGAGGACACAATGAAACTCAGAAGTGCACCTGTTTCTTCTTTTTTTTTTTAATGCTGTTATACTGGTTTACATCCTTGTGGTCATACTGTGAGTCAGTCTCAAGATCTGATAGATTTTTTTCTTCATGGTTTATAGTGTCAGCATCTAAAGTCCAATATTTCAATTTATTTTTGTTTCCTGTTAAGAAAGTCTTACCACAACTGACAGCAGAAAAACACCCAACAAGTACTTGTGCACATGTTGTCCCATGTTTTGACTGAGAGATAGGCATGGAAATGTGTGTGGGTGTTGGCAGTTCCTTGTTTGATTTCTCTTATTTATCATACCCAGCTGGGGCTTTCCAGGAGCCAGTGCCCAGAGCATACAGCGTCATGACTTGATGGTGCAGTTTAACATATGGTTCCTATTTGTTTTAAAATCTTTTCCTGCATCATCCAGAGATACAAGCAGAAGCATCCCCTTTGTGGGAGGAACGTCTCTAATTTCCACATGCTGCTTGTTTCTGTTGAGAACTCCAACCTGCTTAACTGCAGAGGTTGTCTTAGCTCTTTCTCCAGATTTTTAGTGTTCACACGCAGATTTTGTAATCTTTCCAGCTGCAAATACAGATTTTTGGAACATTTGGTCACTACTGAAATACACTTTTGCTACATCTCCTCACAGTATTTAAATTCCTTGGACTTCCATAGTCTGTGATTTAGGGACATACTCCTTCAGAATGATCAGAAACATGAAGACATAGAGTGATTGCCTCAAATTACACTGGAAATTTGAATCAGAGGAAGAACTTGAATGTAAATCTTGTCACTCACTGGATAAAGAATAAACGATTCTGTCTTTATTATCTGTGTTACATCAATTCCTTATGAGCTGCTGTAATACTTTGTCACTTGCTGCTATTAAATACAATTAATTCACATTGAGGAAATTGCAATAAATTTCCACTTGTCATGTGTTCTTTATTACAGGAATCAAACATTTTGAGCCCAATACAGGATGGGACCAAAAAACCCCAGATAGACAGCATTAAAAGCAATAACTACAATATTGTTAAAGAGGTTAGTTTATCTGCCAAGAAACTTGCTTGACATACCTGTATGATTAGTAGATTTAGTAATTATTATGAAATAAAGTGTCTTTTTTTGGTTTTGTGTGACATGACTGGTTTCTTTTCTTGGTTGCATGCTTATTTATTTGTTTGGTTTGTTGTTTTTTTTTTTCTTTTATAATTTATAGATTTTGATTCGACTAAGCAAACTTTGTGTTCAGAGCAAAAAATGTCGGAATCAACAGCAGCGTTTACTGAAAAATATGGGCGCCCACCTGGTGGTCTTGGACCTTCTGCAGATCCCCTATGAAAAGGTTATTTTCCTAATTTTAGTGGTAGAGAACACAAACTGAAGGAAGGGAAAGGCCTTGGCAGGCCCAAGAATCAATGGGCTGTGGTACAAACATGAACTGATGATGTCATTTTCTACCTTCAGAATAGTGAGTTTGGGCTCAGTATGGGCTACAGCTGCCTGCACAGTTTTATTTAAAATTTAATATTCACTGCCTTGGGTACCTAGAGGTCACAGTGCTGTCATTCCTGTACCCATTCCTGAAGTAGGCAAACCTTAGGACCAAAAGCTTTTACAGATCAAATCTGAAACAACTTCTTTGTTTTTATGGTGGACATCTCTAACCTAGTTCCATGGGCTGTTTTTTTTTCACAAGATACAGTTATTTGGTATTGATTTGGTGGAATTAAACATACAAATTAATGAACTAGATAGGCTTTGAAAGAGCATATCTTTCTAGATCTTCTAGGAATCACTGAGAGGAGGTAAAACCTTTGCTGGGCTATGTTTTCCTGTGTGTTATGTTACGGACACTGGGTTCAGCTGTTGTCAGTAAAATAGTGCTTGTCCATGCAGGTGGTTCATCAAATCATACTTAGGATACTACATGAGAGGACTATAAAATGGGGATGAAACTAGAGATATATTTGTGTGGGAGTATGTGTATGCACACATGCACACATACATCTGTTTCTGTATGTGGCTATAGAAAAACCCAATGTTTGCCAAAGCTTAAAACTAATGCAGAGTGACATTTTTGGTTTGTTTTGCTTTTTTTTTTTTTTTTTTTTTTTTTTTTTTTCTAACCTTTTTGAGACTTTTTAAAAACTTAGCACTTTTTAAAACTAGGAAAATATAGCCACACAAGAAGAAATCTTACTTTGATTTTATGCTCCTACCTGTGATTCCCTATGGTTTGATTCAGAGTAAGGTACAGCTGCTAATGGACTCCGAAGGAAACTGCATTAGTTACTTTTGCTAGAGGGAGAATTCCTGCCCTATAAAGGCTCAGGATAATTGGTTTATTCTTGGCTGAATTGATGTTGTGTAGTTTTAACAAGTATGTTTAGGTATAACCAGCTGATTTTGTTTGTCCTTACTTCCTGCAGAGTGATGAAAAGATGAATGAAGTTATGAATCTAGCCCACACTTTTCTTCAGAATTTCTGCCGAGGAAATCCTCAGAATCAAGTTCTCCTCCACAAAAATCTCAACTTGTTCTTAACTCCAGGGGTAAGTATTTCACTTGAAATAGAATATGATAATTGGAATTAAATTTGGTTTTGCTGAAACATCCCAGTGCTAAATAAATAATTTCACTAAATTATGCCTCCCCTCTGCTCTCCTCTCTCATTTCCCTTAGTGTTGCTTTTTATGTCATTTGCTTTAATGTTGCCATTTTAAAAGTGGAAAACAAAATCCAAGGAACCTGTGGGGTTTACTGGAAGGATCTGTGAATATGTGTCACATCCTTGTCTTGAACTTGACTCTGATTTTATTCATCCTGACTCACTCACTGAGGGACTGTAAAGTCAAGGTAGAAGATACTGTGACTGCTGTCATAAACTTTGTGTAACAACAGAATCATATTCATACATGTTTGTTGATGATGTTCCCATTTGATTCAACTAATCTAAAGTCTGATCTTCTATTTAAATCATTGTCTTTACAATAGACCTTTTTATCACAATCCCTTTGTATATATTTGTGTGTGTGTGTTTACAGACATATTCATATAGAATGACAGTTGCTCAGTGGATCCACTGAGCAAAACATTCTTTTGTTAGAAGGAATTGTGAGTATGAGGATTGCAGGCCCTGGCCTGTGCACTTTTAAGAACATTTGTTCCATTGTTTTTTATTTATGCTCTTTTGTGACATTAGTGAGCAGCTCTGAGCTGACCACAGTGGGGACCAGAGCCTGGATTCCATCACATCCAATGCTGACACTTAACTTGGGTGCAGTGTGGAACCAGCTTGCACTCGTATTTCTGTTCTTTTGAAGCTGATTTCCTGATCATCCATCCCAGTTATTGAGCTTTTGTGCACATTGTGGAGCAAACTTGACGTGGATAGTTTAGTGTCAGACGACACTAAACAGACACGTATACTTTAGGAGCACACCTGACCCTCAGGAGCCTTTAGTCCAAGGGACCAACCTAGAACAAAAACCCCAAGAATGCACAAAGCCTGGGTGCTATGTCCTCAGCAGAATCCCTTCTTGCTCCAGATTGATTCCTCTTGTTCCATGCTGTTCACGGATACACAGCCCTAGGCTCCATTTGGAGTTAATGTGGAAAGAGACATTCTCTTTGAGACCATCAGGCTGCACATGCAGGGATTTGCCTGCTGGAAGTGCCTCCTCTGTGAGCCCCAGAGAGAGCCAGAGCAGCTCATCATCTCATCTGGTGGTGTCATTGCAAAGTTTGATGGTGAACGGGGCCAGGGTGGTCTCAGGTGTCTCATATTCTGAAGCCCCTGGAGAGTGCTTTAGCAGTGTAGTGTGTGTGTTTGTGTGTTCACCTTCTACAGGGACACAGGTTTGGTTTATGCCCACTGTAGGACTGTTTGTACTCATAGGGAAGTGTGTAGAAATCCCCTCAAAACTGGAAGCTGGGCTCTGAGATAATTGAAAAGGATTTCTCCAGTTTCCCTTTACCAGTGAGCCTTCCTCTACTCGAGAATCCCGTGCCTCCCTCAATCTCAAAGCAGATCTGCTGTGCTCATGAGGCTGGTTTTGATCTGTTCAGCTCCTGGAAGCCGAGACCATGAGGCACATCTTCATGAATAATTACCTCCTGTGCAACGAGATCAGTGAGATGGTGGTGCAGCACTTTGTGCACTGCATCGAGACCCATGGCCGGCATGTGGAGTACCTGCGATTCCTGCAGACCATAGTGAAAGCAGATGGCAAATACGTGAAAAAGTGCCAGGACATGGTAATGACAGAGGTAAGCAAAGGCTTCACATGTTAATCACTTGAGTATTTTAAGGCTGTTTTTCATGCTCCTGATACCAATGAGATGTAATGACATCATTGCTTTAGTATTTTAAGCAGCATCACAAATAATGAATATTTTAGCAGACGTTTTCGGGAGTTTGGTCTAATTTTGCAAGGCCATCTGTATAACTACTAGAAAGAAAACATGAGTGTTAGCATGGTGATACAGAGATGTCTATTTGTAGATGATGTAGCATGGAAATCTCAGAGTTACATAAACCTTCATTTTCCTGTAATGTAATTTAGGATTACTTTTACCCACCGTTATGGCACGGGTTTGCCATACAAGAGGCTCTTACCTCGATGGATTTGTCTAAAGAGTGTTGTAGACCTTTTTTTTTAACATGTAGCAATTCTAAATCCTAGTTTCTGCCCTTTTTTTTGGTTTTGTTTTATTTCAGAGCATTTCTGTGAGGGTCAGTAGAGCTACTTTAGCTTTAACTAACTGGATCCAGTAAATTCAGCCAAGTGGTTTGTGGAAAAATCTTTATGCCAATAAATTTCCTAGGAAAATACCTAATTGACTTTCTCTGCAATTAGGATTAGATATATTGTGAGCATGATAAATGAAGTCTTCAACTTGCAGACACTTGCACATTTAACTGTAATTATGTTAACAGTTCCTTGAGATTAGTAAGTGGGTAAAGTTGAATATGGTGAAAAGTCATGGTTGGATTAGAGTCCAAGGAACATTTTTAGTTGCTTTACAAAGTGCTTTTTTTTGGCTTGGTTTGGTTTTTTAAAGAGGCATCTTCACAAAGAAATCAGAGATAAGCTTTAGTTTTTTGTGGTATGAACAAAATGAAATCCTGCTGAAACTTTATTCCACAGCAACAAGAGGAAAAATTTCTAATTAAGAAAATAAAGCTCCTGCCTACATGGATAACCTTTAATGAAATTCACCTCAACCTTTTCAATTTGACTGAAGTATTTTAACATGCAATATCAATTACAAGCCTTTGATTTACATAATTCAAACACTTCTTGTGCCTTTGTGGTTTTAGATTTTTCTGCTCCCACCGAAGGCTCTTGTAGAGGTTTTTTTTAATCATCAAACAAAATTTTCAGATTTTCTCAATTTCAATATATTTTGGTATTGACTTGTAGCAGCACAAAGTTAAACTGTCATATTACGTTTTTGAGCCGACTCCATGATGAAAGTAGAAATGAACTTGGATACAGCATTCACATCATAAGTCCTGCAGGAATTTCCTAGGGGGAGGGAGCAACCCTATTTTGATGAAATACGGTAAGATACTGATCTGTTTTTTCTAAAAGTAGGAAATTAGAGGTAAGTAATTATGATTTCTTAGAAAAGGATGCTAATTGTGAAACTTGAATGGCACTTGAATAGCAATCCACTCTAAAGGGAACAAATGGTTGGATCTTGCCACCGAGTCGCAACAGTTTCTCTGCAGACAGCTGAGATGTACTTTGTGACCTTAAACAAGTGCTGTAGCTTGTTCCCGTGCCTCCAGATGGGGCACATAAACAATTTACCACAAGACAAGATATAGTATGACTGTACAGCTTGCCTCAGCTCCTCCTGCGTTTTGTTTCACCCACAGGAAATATATTGTAGCTTATTCCTATTTACTGGGAGTGAGGGATAATCCTCATATTTACATGTTCTAGAAAATGCATGCAGATGAAGGAGCACCACAGCAAGTGAATACTGTCATAAAATCCATTGGACATCCCCAGTCTGTCTGATTCCCTTGTTCTCATCTCCTTGGTCTCCATGTCTGCAATGATGTTTACCAACATTAAAGGGCACTTTTTCTCATTACAAGCAGGCTTTGAGGTTCCTGGAAGAACCCTGCCTGTCAGTGCAAACACTATTACAGAAGGGAAAGCAGAATTTACTTTGGGCCAGATCAATGTGGCCGCAGACTTTTCTATTACCTGTAGTATTCTGGAGTAATATTTTGCACAGTATCAACAGCTGCTCTAATACTGGACAGCCTTCATTATATTACCATAGAATTCTAAACTTGCTGAAAATACACTTTAATGGCAGAAAATGCTGCTGGGTTGTTTTGTCCTAAGCTCTCATTCTTTTAAGTTATTTTTTTCTGTACTGTGGATTGTTCAGAAAATGTCTGAAAAGTCGTGGGTATAGAAATACTGTAGAAACCCAAAGATAAATGAGAAATAGGAATTGCAGGAGAGACTGAATTCACAATTCACTCCAGCCAAATGTCAAAGTAAAAATAAGCAAGAAACAGGGAAACCACAAACAGAAATGCTGTGAATTCAAAATTTGAAGTGTTGAAACCCTGGAAAGTGTAATGAAATGTTTCTTGACTTTTCATTCTGGGAGACTAATTTCAATTCCTGTTCTTCCTGCTTTCCATTTCTCAGCGGCTCCAGCAACCTTTATGACTACCCTTGAATTGCGTAAGCTGGGATTTCATGTCACATATGGACTGGAATAGGTCAAGTGCCTAATTCACAAAATAAGTGTGATTTTTGAGCTGCCAGTGTGTGTTCTGTACCAGGAGGGGCTTGTGGGAGCTTATTTCACCCACACTGAGAGTGGATTGTGCTTCAAAGGACAGTGATGGAGAGAGGATTCCAAATAGGGTTAGGGCAAAACTCTTCAGTGAGATGTGCTGAGATGGGGTTGCCAGCATCCAGCACTGCTCTGGATCCTCTTGAGATGAGCAGAGCACTTGTAGCAGAATCAAACATTTATCACATACAGCAGTTTTCTGCTAAATGGAAGTGCTGACGTGACACTGAAAAAGTCATTACCCACCTGCCAAATTTGCACAGGGTGGGAAGAATCTCCTTTTGTTTCCAATACTGAGCAAGGGTGGGGTAAAGGTGGGTTCAATTCTGGGTGAGCCACAGACTTTTTGTGTGAGGCACTGTGGAAGATTTAATCTCACTGCACCTCAAGTGCTCATCTATGAAGCAGGGATAATAATGTATCCTGGTCTCCTAGCAGGAGGTGAGGATAATTAATTAACTTCACACAAATATTGAAATGGTAGGAATAATAAGGATGGTATGCTGTCTTAGATAAAGACAGAGCTACACAGAAATTAAACCTCAAATTCACCTTGCATTAGTGCATTCCTTGGTGAGTTATTCCAGATTTGCACTTACATTGATAAGAGCAGAAGTTTGCTTTGGGTATTGTTTTGACATGTTCATTTGGCAAACTGCATCAGAGTAAATTTTTCATCAGGTTTCATTGTTTAGGTTTTAGCTAGAGATAAAATAAGAAATTAAGAAAATCATAGAATAGTTTAGGTTAGAGAAGACCTTTAAAATCATTGAGTCCAAAAGGATTGCAGTGCAGGGTGCTCAGAACCTTGTGCCCTCTTTCTCAGCTGATAAATGGTGGTGAAGATGTGCTGATATTCTACAATGACAGAGCATCCTTCCCAGTGCTGCTCCAGATGATGTGTTCCGAGCGGGACCGAGCCGACGAAAGCGGGCCCTTGGCCTATCACATCACTCTGGTGGAGCTGCTGGCCGCCTGCACCGAGGGCAAGAATGTGTACACAGAGATCAAGTGCAATTCACTGCTGCCCCTGGATGATATTGTGAGGGTAGTGACCCATGATGACTGCATTCCTGAGGTACAATTTACAGCAGGAGGAAGCAGACTTAGCATTTTTAGAAAGCAGACAATGTTTTGTTGTTATAATGCACTGACAAGTTGAATATTTGCATAGGGAGTGGGCTGGAAATGGGTGGTGCTTCTTAAGGTGAATAATTGAGAAAGGATAGACAGTATTTATTCCACAGAAAATTCCTTGTCCTTAATGCATTGTTTGGCAGCTTTTCAGACACCTTATTTTGGGTTTGTCCAGCCACTGTCAGAGTTTAATGCACTCATAATTTCTGGCTGAAACTGTGAAGACTCAGCTGAATGCTGGGTTAAGCCAATGTTTTGCCATTGCGTGAATTTCTTGGAAATGATAGATAAAATTCTGTCCATGCTGAAGTCAGTGGGAATTTGGGTGAAGTCTCATTTTATTAAACTCAATTGCAGTCCAGCAAATATTTTTATTCCCTGCAGATGAAGGCACAATTCTGCATGTGTTATGCTAAAGTAGGACTGTGATATTATCTGGTGGAAAAATGGGGCTCTAAGCAACAGAACTGGGGCCTGCAGGAGTTAAAACTCCCCCTGTACCATGAAAATTGCCCTTGTGATCAAATGATCTTATTACTAAAAAGAAATATGTTTGCTTTGCCCAAAAGTTCCCCTTAACATTAATTTCAACAGATGGTAATTAGAAAAAAAAAAATCCCAAACAAAAGAAACCTAAAGGTCTGATCTGAGTTTTCTCTTCACTGCATTAAACATATGGAACTATCTCATCTCCCTTGACCGTGATAAGAAATTTTCAGTACAATTGCATATGTTTATATTTAATCTATACATTTTTGGGCACTGGGTATCCATTTTTATGCTGTGCACATGCAGACTTGTCATGCCAGAGAGGAGTCCTAGCATGTCCTCTTCCTAAGCCTTGTGCTGCCATTGCTGCAGTCCCAGTGTGCCACAACCTTTCTCTGCCATTTAGATCCCAGATGCAAGTGCTGCATTAGGATTGTGGAAATACAGGGACTTCAGCCCCAGCTCTGCAAAAGACTTTTATTTTATATTTGCAAGCCTGTCACAAGGCTTCAACCTACCACAGTCAACTGGCAAGTGCAGAGTGTCCTGCATTCTGACAGCCTCTGGCTTTGGAGATAGGCCTTGCTGGTCTTAATATCAGTTAAATACCAGAATCATTACTGGTTTGTCTTGTGGGGGTTTTGTCATTAGAGTAAGGATGTTTGCAAAACCTTTTCATTTTTCTTCCTGTGGTCTTTCAGTAAACACATTAAGGCATGTGTTGCCCAGCTTCTCCTTAAATATTCAGACTCAAACATGTGCATTATTATGGTTATGAATGTTTGTTAGTACTGGAAGGTTCATCTTTATTGTTCAATATTTTTGCAGATAGAAAACATAATGTTAATTGCTTTTACTGTTCCATTTCATAGTGATTGTGTTTTCACTGTTCCTGCAGGTGAAAATTGCCTATGTTAATTTTGTTAACCACTGTTACGTGGACACTGAAGTGGAAATGAAAGAAATCTATGCCAGTAACCATATCTGGAAACTTTTTGAGAACTTCCTTGTTGATATGGCAAGGGTAAGCTTCACCAGGCGTTAAACATTACAGAATGGTTATGGGTGACAACTGAACTGGCAGTAACAGGGGTTTTTTGTGAACTTTTATTTTGTTAACTATTTTTATTCCAAGTCAGCAATAGGATAAGTGTGGTTAGTTGGTTTGTTTGTTTAACAGTCATTTCTATGATCTTTATAATCTTTTAACCTGCTAATTACTAGTAGCCTTCTCTTTCTAAAAGGGTATCTTGGAACCCGTGCCTTTCTCTTGTCTGATGAAGAAATAAATTGGGAGTGTGTACATGGTTGAGAGCCTGTATACATCTTTTGAGAATGTGCATTACATGTCATTATGGTGGTGACTAAAACACCCCCACATCTGTAATATCTTCCTGTATTCTGTTGTTATAGTGAGGATCAGGGATCAAGATCTTCTCTGGCTCGTCTTCCTTCTTTAGTCTCTATTTTTGTCTTTCATTCTCCTGTCACTCCATTCTCATTGTGCAATGTGAAAGGCAGGTGTAGAGCTGTGGTCCCTCAGAATACTAATTCAAATATAAATTACAGCTGCAAGTAGACAGGGCACAGTCAATACCACAGGCCTGCCATTCCTGTGGTCCTCATGGTGAGTGAGACTCATGGTGTCAGTACTTGTTGAATTAAATTTTAAGTTACAAGTTGAATTAAGCTTTGTTCCCAGGGATTTTGAAGGCAAAAAACAAGAGCAATCTTATGACTTCCACAGGGATTAAATACAGTAGTAGAGCCATGAGGGGAAGCTAGTGTGATGTAATGATTATAGCCTACACTACACATCCTTTTCTAGGAGGTTAATGCTTCTTGTAATTATAAATAATTAAAATATTAATGACAAACAATGGTGTTGCTCTTTTTGCTCAAGAAATAGAACCATGGCTTTTTGGGTTTTGCCCAGTCCATGGTCCATTACATTTTATAATACTTAAGTTCTCACTCCATGCATTCTTCATTTCATTGAAATGAAGAGAAAAGGTAAAGAATCTCAATTTGGTCCTGCAGCAGACAATGACCCCAAAGTAAGAGTGTGCCACAAAATAATTCCTGTGAGACCTATTAGGAGAAAATACAATTAATTTTGGCTAAAAAAGGAAGGAATGCAAAGACTTATGCTGTACAATAGTTACTGGGATCTGTTCATTTTTTCTGTGAAATAGAAACCTTATATATGGTGGGGTTTTTTTTGGTTTGTTTGTTTTTTGGGTTTTTTTTGGTGTTTGATTATTTGTTTGTTTTGTTGGGGGTTTTTTTGGGGGGGTGTGTGTTTTGGTTTGGTTTTGGGTTTGTTTTGCTGTATTTTTTTTAACCTTTTTATTTTTCCCTGGGACCAGGTTGAGGCAGGGATGTTTGTGCTCTTTTTTGGTGGTAGCCATTTTCAGCAGTAATTAGTCCTCTACAAACCCTGTTTTCCTGCTGCTTTGTCTCTGTGGTTGTTACACAGTGAAAGCTCTCCTGAACAAAAACAACCTGGGTTGAAAATTAAGCTGAGAAACATCCTTGGAGGAGCATTCTGACTTTTAACCTTGCTGGTTTTATCTCAATAAGTATTTTCTTCTCTTTAATTCCCTTTCTGGGTTGCCCTTGACTTTCCAGACTATCCCTCCTCCCTAGCCCTTGAACGTGGCCAATTTTCTGTGCCCCTGGGCTAGAAGCAGACAAGTAGAAAGAGGGCTCTGTCCAGGTTTCCTCTCATGGGCCTGGAGACAAACTGCACTGTGCTAAATGCTGGGTGCTTGTCCTGATGCTGGTGACCACACCTCTCTCCTGAGAGAAATTAGACCCCAGGTCTTCAGAGATGAAGAGGAGAAATGCTGCATTTTGTGTGTGGGTGCTGTTGGCAAAATGCAGGTTTATTCTGCTCTTCTGCAAGTGTGTCAGAAGTTCTCTGGCCTGTCCTGCTCTTCAGCCATGGATAGCTGTATTTTCCAGGTTATGGAGTGTATTTGTTCAGATGTGCGGCTCTGGGGCCCCAACAGAGCCCAAGTGTTATAAATACATCAGCGCTCTGTAGCTATCAGAACAGTTAGAATGCTGTCAGCATCATGAAAGATGTTATAATAGCTTTCAAAACATTTAGAAAAAGATCCCTTTGATCCTCTGTGTTCCAGTGAGCTAAAAGGGATGCTTTTGCATGGGGGAAGGGGAAATGCTTTTCTTTTAGCTGCTACAAATGCCTGTCACTGGGTGAGTTTGTGAGCTTTGAGTCTGTTATTGGAGAGCACCAAGGTGAAAGATGGAGAGTGTTATCCTCAGGTTGGATTCCTTCTGTTTTAGATATATATTAAAAAAAAAAAAAAAAAACAAAACCAAAACCAAAAAACAACTGATTTTAAAAATCTGTTTCTGGATTGAGGAAGGAAATACTTAGTCCCCAACTGACATTTTCCTTTCAACAACATGATACATTGCAAAGCAGCCATGAGGCAGATCCGTGTATAAACTAGGTTTGCCAAAAGCTGTTGTGTTTTTAAAGACGCCCTGCTTCTACAGGTTCTGCCAACCTACTTTCTGCCGGGTGTGACTTACAGCCTTGTGCTGAGCAAAGTGGGTGCTGCTGAAGGAAAGGCTTCCCTTTCCTGCATGTGGCCCAGCCTGTGTAAGTCAGCAGCTCTAGTCTGAGCAGGATTAAAGACAAGAGCTGAGGATCTGACAGCTGTAAAGTCATCCTGGCTTTCTCTGCAGAATTTTTGAAGTATTATTCATGTGAGTTTTGGTCCCAAAGCCTTTAAGGGGTTTTTAAACACTGCTTTCTCAGTCTTCATCTCCATTTCATGCATTTCAGGTCTTTGTTTTTTTCTTCCATGGAGGAAGATCTTTCAGTCCCCAAAGGGCAGAGAGATAAGAACAAATGAGAAAATTTCTTCTGTAGTGGGAATTTTTCAGACTGGTGTTTGAATGGAGTGGCATTCCCACATACGGCTCTGCCTTTCAGGCAGCTGAAGGGGAAAGCTTAAAATTGTTCTGGAATTTAGTTTTGGTGATTTCTGCATTCACTGTGCTAGCACTGCGCAGCTCCCTGTCTTTCTATTGGGATTGCAAGTGCTGAGCTCAGAGCTACTGGTTCCAGCCAAAATTGGTATGCAGATTAATTAAAAGCAAAAGAACTTCCAGAGATTTTTAGTTCTATGATCTCTTTTTATTTAAAAATATTAGACAAGTTTTGATTATTAACGGAATCATTTACCTTCCGAAGGACTGGGGGCGGTGTCATACTTTTCCCAAAACAGAAGGGGTGATAAGTTTGCTGTTTCATTTTAGCCACTCTTGCTTCTCTGACCAAAATCTTTCCTGGGGTGATAAAAAATGCACTCTCTGGAGGCATGACTGATTTATCTGATACATTTTAGATAAGCAGACAAGCAAATGCCTCAAGATGCCTCATTTGTCTAGGTCTGAAGTTATCTTTGGTTATTCCTCTTTCCAACGCATGACAATGTTTGTGTGCTAGACCCAAGGTGCTTCGGTGTTCCCCTGAGCTCTAGCATCCCCTGAACACAGGTGCTTTTGGATGTCATGTCAGCAGACTTCCTTAAAACATTCCTCGTGAAATTGCTGTCTTGTAGTGACAATGGCAGTGTGTAATTAGAGAGAATCTTTACCCTGTGTGAGATTCAGGTGATGTGGATTATCTCTCTGCTTCTGCCACCAACTTTTCCCTGTGACCTTAAGCAATTCAATCAGCTTCTCTGGGCTCCCCATCCCTGAAGAGATGTAATGGTAAGTGTGTGCCACTCAGGTTTGGGGTTATGTATTAAATGCACAGATGGCAATGACTCCTATCCCGGGAATTTTTGTATACAAAATAAATTCTGCTTTTGCATAGATTCCCTAGAACATTGTAGTCATCTCTGGCTTGCATAGGTGAAAGAGAAAACAACTCTGCCTTCATTTCTTGTTAAACATGACTACAGCTGCTTATTTAAAAGCTGTTGAAGAGGTAGTATGACTACAATCTGTACTACTTGTTTGTCCAGTCTTGCCTTTCTCACTGTTTTTGGCTCTCTGTAGACTCCTTTCATTACTGTGTACACTGACACATGCAATGTCAACATGACTCTGTATAGATGTTCAAAAGTGTTGAAGAGAAATAAAGGAAATACTGAAGGATGTAATTCATACCAGTAATTTTCCCCCTTTCTTTAAGTGTGACATCTTTATGCAGCAACAAACTTTAAGTGTTGTACCAAAGGGAGTCTTCAGGAACCTTTTGTACAAATCTTCCCACTTCCTCCCACCATTCAATCATCCTTCTGTGCTCCAGAGCTGTCCTGGTATCATCCATTCCCTTCTTTCATTGTTTTAGCTTGGCTTCTGTATTTTCCCCATGTGGCTTCCCAAAAAAATGCTACCTCTCTCCCAGTACCATCCTAAAGCCTGTTGGTATTGAGTGTGCTGTTTCCCTTCCTTCCCTCCTTTTAAACATTTTTCTTGTAAATGAGCTTTGCCATTTCGACCCAGTTGTGGTAATTAATTGTTGAGAGAAGCTAAATGTTGTACGAAATCTTTCTGAGTTATGTCTCATGTGTCTCTGAAGCATCTTCCAACCAGCCTTGCAATGGGAGGAAAGGTCCATTTTCTTCTTGAATCTGTCTAAATGTCTAAGTGGCATGCAGTGTGCTTATTTAGGGAGATCTTTCCTTCATGGTGTGGGAAAGAAGAGGCAGGCAGCTAGAAAGAACTAGTTCAGAAGAGAAGGGTGGACCTCCAAGAAGAAAGATAAGCTATAATAAATCCAGCTTCAACTCTAACATAGTTCTCTCTGATAGATACTATATAAAAATATTTTGTTTTGACTTTAAGAAATATCAGTAATAAATACAAAATAATGAAGCTTGTTTACTGGGGAGAACTAAATCTCATTGTCTCCTCCTCCTTCCCTGCAGGTTTGTAACACAACCACGGATCGTAAACACGCAGACACGCCTCTGGAGAAATATGTCACTGAGCCTGTCATGAGCATTGTGAGTGGCTTCTTCAATTCACCAT